TCTCTCTCTCTCTCTCTCTCTCTCTCTCTCTCTCTCTCTCTCTCTCTCTCTCTCTCTCTCTCTCTCTCATGGCCATCCAACACATAGAACGGCAGCGGGTACAACCACGATGGGCGGACGATGGCCATGCAGTGGCATGCACACACAGAAGGGCGGTGGGTACAACCATAACGGGCGGTAAATTTCCAAGGGGAGCTCCCTTAGGCGAGGCTGAAGCCTTCCAATTTCGAGAGTGGCAAATTTCGAAGTTGGGAGGCAAATTTTTATTTCCGTTCGCGCCAGGAAAAAATGTTGTGCCTAAGAAAAATACAGCTCCACCGGTCTGCATATTTCCAAGGAAGAAGGGAAGAGGGGGAAGGGGGGGGAAGGTGGATTCTACGTACGGTTACCTGACAGAATTGCTTACCCGCCCATACCCATCTGATTTTTTTTTCACCAACCTATAACGGTTGTACCCATGTTTTTTTTTTTCTTGCCCGCGCATACCTGCGGTTTTTCCCTTTTCACTGCCAGTACCCGCCCATGCCTGCATGTGATCTCCACGCAGTGCAACCATGCTTGCCCTTAAATCCACAAATAAAATTTATGTCTGCCCATACCGATGCCCCCCTCCGGAAGGGTACCCGTACCTGCCCATAACCTGCCGGTTACAGTTGGGTACGGGCAACAGTTACCCAGTTGCCACCTCTGGTCCCCCCGTACGGCACGACAATCCACTCCAGCGGCGGATACCCGTTGTTGCCCAGAATGTAACAGTGTGTCGTCACTTCGAACGGCAGCACAACAGGAGCTCCACGGAAAAGATCCCCCTCCTCCGCACGCGCCCACAGACTGGAGAGTTGAAGCACCCGAATGTCATGGCAGCTCCCTGGGTAACCGACGAAAACGTTCGTGATGCGCAAGTCCAGGTCCACCACCACCTGCGCTACAACGAAGAAACGATGCTTCCGGTCGAAGTAGTTCTCCGAAGGAGCGTTCGCCGGTTTGTCGACGTAAACGTGCGTGCAGTCTATGCAGCCATAGCAGTTGGGAAAGCCCTTCGCCTCGAAGGCACGCAGAACGAGCGTACGACGCATCCCAGTAGGCCATACGATCTTGTCACTGTACACCCTCAGGAGCGCCCTAGTAACGTCCTCCACTGCGATCAACCCGGATGCGCGCCCTATTCCGAATGACGACGTGCTGCTCTCGTACGTCTCACCGCTCGCCCATCGGTAAAATGCATATGCGATGATGTGATCCGGCTGCAAAGGAACCCTGTAGAATGTCACCCGCCTCTGCAGAAGAGGAGACAACGCCTCCACGATCTCCATGAACACCCTGGGGGTCATCCTCAACTTTTCCTTGTAGTACTCGTCCGAGGCGTCCTCCATCTTCCGCAGATCCTCCCACGTGCCACCCGTCCTTCTCCGCATCCACCACCTTGGAGTCGCCCGCGGTATCGCCCCGGATGACATGGCGGCGCAGAACTAGGTAATGGATTCGGACATGGACACGCAGTCTGGCGCCGCCATCACGTGGTGGAGGAGCTCACGCTGCCTGCGGATAGACACTCTCGTCCTCAACCACGTCATCGTTCTCTCGATGCGACATCGCATGGCCACCGCCGACACTGCTGCAACCAGCGTTGTCGAGCGGGGAACCCCGGGGGCAAAGCCGGTGTTAGGCTGCGGACCCCGGACCCCCGCCGCGGGGTTCATCCAACCCCGCCACCACCGGACGACCCCCGCCGCCGCCCAGCCCCGGGTACCCCGCCGCCTAACCCCGCAGGCCCGCCACCGGCCCCGCAACCCCGCCCCCGCATCGCCCCCGCACCGCAACCCCGCC